CTTGAAGTCTAAGAGATTATCCTACCAACCATTTTATCCAACAAAGTCTTGAAGTCTATAATGTAGATTAAAAGAAAAAATTATTAATATTTAAAAAGTAAAAAAAAATAAAATAAAAGTTGAATTTAGAGGGTAAAATAGGTATCTGACAATCAAAAGTTTGAGAAATCTGGTCTAGGGACCTTCTGATAACTATAGACATAATTAAGTGACATTTCTGTTACAAACGAAAAAAATATGACTACACTTGAAATTTGAGTGACTATTTAAGTAATTGATTCTTTAATTTAAGGGTTAATTTCAGAGACCTCCCCTCAGGTTTGGCCTCATTACAGTATCTCCCTTGTGGTTTACGATATTACGCATACCTCCCTCATTTTAATTTTTTTTTTGTAACAATTCTCTAAAGCCATTTATTATTAATTTTTATGAATTATGATATGACTAATGGGCCCTTTTCTAATATACTCTTCTCTTAATTAATTTTACTAACATCTTTTTTGAAAAAATTATTTTGCAAGAGAAATCTCTTGAACCGAGAATCTCTTGTTCATGCTTAAAATGGTCCTATGGCGATGCAATGCGAGGACAAAGTTATACTAATCCATTGATTGAAGAAATAGAAGCCAATAAAACCATTAAGATCGTTAGCTTAACTTTTATTTTTTGGTTTCTCGCCCAGTGTATGTCATTCGCATTGGAGTCCGACTATATCTGAATTCGCGCCGCGTGGGACCCCATTCGGGGGAATCGCTCCCTACCAATAATTTTTTCATATCAAGAGCTCGAACTCGAGACCTCTGGTTAAGAGAAAAGCAGCTTCATCCGCTACACCACATACTTTAATGGTAGATCGTTAGCTTAACCTAATCATGAATAAGTCAAAGACTCGAAATCCTGTCAATTCATCTCCACTCTTTTAACACCAAAAAATATAAATACTTCAAATTTGCCCAAAATTCCTCCTTAGCATCATCACCCTTTGGATGTCTACTCTCTCACAGTATCAAATCCTTAATTTGGCCATATGATCCCTAATTTGCTATTTAGGGATATTCTTATAATCTCCATACTCCAATATCCATGGCAAGAGATGGCGGGCCAAAACGTTTGGATACTTCAATTGGCTTTTGAAGTTTGCTTTTCAAGATTCTTGGTGTTGAGAGAACCTGTGGGATAGAAACGGACTGGGGTTAGAAAAGATGTTTGAAAACTTAATTAAAGAGAAGATTATATTAAAAAGGGGTAAATTAGCCATATTACAAGTTTTAGGAATTAATAATAAATAAGTTTAGAGAATTGTTACAAAAAAATTAAAATAAAGGAGGTATGCGTAATATCGTAAACCACAAGGAAAGTGACTGTAACGAGGCCAAACCTGAGGGAGGGTCTATGAAATTAACCCTTAATTTAATGTTTCACTGTTAATATGTATGTGAATATCCGTTTTGTTTTATCAAATGACATAAATTACCCACAACTTTAGTTTATGGTGTTTTGCCCCCAAAACTTCAGCCCCCTGTTTCTTCTACTATTATTCTCATACGTTCATCCCCATACGATTCCCCTTCCTTAATTAACCCCTGTATTCTTTGGTAACAAGAAAAGGTACAAGTTTTATCATTGTCTCAATTAGAAATCTTACCAAAATAGTTGACCGGTTTTATTTTTTTTTTGTCGGTATATATAAATTATTCAATGATTATATACGGTTATACATATATTATTTATGAATTACACATATATTATACATCAGTCAGCTATTTTTAATTTAAATAAAAATTGCTAGGCGATTATTACATATATTATATATCTGTTCTATTTAGGGGCGGCCAAAGGGTGAAACCACTAAAGCGGGGGCTTTAAACCCCAGAATTTTAGAGGCCCCAAATATGTTTTCTAATTCCTATTCGATTCGGTATTGTGAGCACCTAATTTTTGACTATATTTAAATTTTTATCACCTTCTACTATGTAAATATTTTTAGAAATATAATATATATTTTTTAGCTTTGTTATATTTTTTTATATATAGGGTAAAAATTAAAAATAATTTAAAAGGTCAATTATTATTATTAATATTATATTATATTTATTTTTATCTTTATTTTAAAATATAATAAATTAAAAACCGAAAAAATTAATTTTTTTTTTAATTTTCGGATAGGAATAAAAAAATGAAAAAGTAGAAGTATGAAATTAAAAAATAAAAGTAAAAGTAAGTAGAAATTATTTAATAAAAACAGTGGAAAATTTAAAAAAATAAAAGTAAAAGAATGTGAAAATTTAAAAAATGAAAAGTAAAAGAAAGTTGGAACTAAAAAATAAAAGTAAAAGAATGTGAAAATTTAAAAAATGAAAAGTAAAAGAAAGTTGGAACTAAAAAATAAAAGTAAAAGTAGCTGAAATTATTTTTTTTAACATAAAGTAAAAGAGAGTGGAAATTAAAAAAAAAAGAAAGGTAAAATAAGTGGAAATTAAAAAAAAAAGTAAAATAAGTGAAAAATAAAAAAAAGGTAAACAAAAGTGAGAAAATAAAAAATAAATTAAATGAAAGTGGAAAATTATTTTTTTTTAAAAAGAAGAAAAATAAAAAATGGAATTCTTTTTAATTAAAAAATAATAAAATAAAATAAAATTCTTAAAAATTTCAAATTTTTTTTCTATAAACAGAAGAGAAATGTGAGGAGAAAAGAGGAAACAAATAGAGGGGAGGGATTTGAGAGAAATGTTTTTGCTTCTTCTACGATAAGGGAATTTCTATTTGTGTCATTCTTTCTTCGTCTTTCTTTCGAAAAAACTAGCAGCTTCACCGCCCAAAAATTACCCTGAAACCCATAAAAATCCAGCCAAGTCCCAACCTCGCTCTCCCGTTTGCGTGAGGTTTAAAGAGGTCCTGTTCGAGGTCTATTTTCAGCGTGATTCTCGTTCATCCGAATCCGGTTCTGTCGAGGTTGTTCAAACTACGTTCGATGTCCTGTTCTCCTTCGAGTTGTAGTCGGAACTTTCCTTCTTTAATTCAAACTTGAGGTTATTATTTTATCAATATAGTGAAGAAAGTTTTTCACCTCAAAGGTCCGTTTCTTTTTCATTTCAGTAATGTTTATTGCCATGCTCTAGTCATATCTCTTTGAATGGTAGTTCTTTGTTGACTTTATTTGGCATGAATTTTTATCATAATATTCCGTGTTTTAGTTTTTTTCCATGATTAGTTAGTGTTTTAATTTTCATTATCAGTTGGTTTGATTGTTGAGCATTTTGGGGTTAAAGGTATATTTATTTTTGATTTATATGAATCTAAAGTCATGTGTAGTAGTAGGAAGGCACGTATTCTCTGTTTAAATTTGAGATAGAATAATTTGTACATGTTAAAGCAAAGATGTCTTGATGAGCACATTTTGTATAGTTGGGACATGAGTGTTAATTAGATTTAAAGGGAGTTGGGTTTATTTAATGAAGTATGTACTACTGAAAATGGCCAATGGACTAATGGAGTAGCTTGGTGAACTAGTAACTCGTCCTACTTTTTAGTTGGTTTTAAACAACTAATTGTACTACGATCAATATTAATTTATTTGTGCCAAAATAGTTTCTGTGAGGCTCAATTTAGTAAGAGCAAAAGCTGACCCATTTTTCACAATTGATTTTTATAGCTCTTGACCTTACAAAGATCTCAAACTCGTAAGGAAAAATAAATTATGAACACGTGCTAGTTGCTTTAGGCGCGATTAATAAATTATATGACTATGGGTATGGTTCTCGTAGCATAGTCATGATACGTAAATCCCAACTCAAGTGCGCATTTCACGCGACTTTATCACAACTTCAAATAATTAAAATAAATATGTTATAAATCGCGGGTGCGTTTCACGTGGCGCGATTTGCAATATGTAAAAAAATAACGAGTGCGCGACATCGCGACTTGTTCAAATAAATTCCATAAATATTAAAAGCGGTACAAGACAAAATGCACAATAGGTTTAAAACATGTAATAAATTAGATCATTAGGTCAAGTATTAATTGTTAACCGGCCGTGCTAAAACCACGGAACTTGAAAGTGCCTCACACTTTCTCCCAGGTTAACAGAATTTCTTACCCGGTCTTCTGTGTTCGAGGACCATAAATAGAGTCAATGTCACTTTAATTGGAAAAACTACCATATCCCCTAGAAAAGGAGGTGTGACGGGTATTTGATTAGAAGCTTTGACTAATTTGAATTTGTACCATGTAAAGTCCATTAAAGTGAGAATTATTCCTTAGAAAGAATTTTTTTCATTCTCAATACTCGAACTGAATACCTCTGGTTAAGGAAGGAAAGATCTTATCCATCCCATTACAACTCTTCTTGTGAGGCCCCAACTCTTTTTTTTTAGAAAATTTTAAGTATTTCAAAGTAGAAAAATAAAATATTTTATATAAAGAAAAGATTACATTTATCATTAAAAAATTTGTAATACACTTTTAAACTCCATTTTTTTTTCTCTGGTTTCCGTTATTGCAACAAGTATGTTGAAACATCAAAAAACAATTCTGATATAAAGTTATCAACTTTTTGAATTGGGTTCTATTACTTATGATCAATAATGTTACAACAGAGATTAAATGGTTTATGCAAAATATTATTTAAATGTTTATTATGAAAAAGCTAGAAAAATCTACTTCAAATAAAAATATATCGGTAGTATTTTTTTTAAACAAAAAATCATTAAAGTTTAGTTTTAGGCGACCAAACTTATTGAGCCGCCCTTAATTCTATTTTTAATTTGAGTTGATTCTTCTTTTACTTTTGGGATTTGTATAAGACGTGCTTAAGGAGTAACCTAATTTATAGAAAAGACCAAGTCAAAGGTATACATTGATGCTAAACCTTAAATTATCCTTCACGTATCCCTTCAAACTCTACAAAGAATCTGCTCCACACTTTTCCCTTTTCCTAAAGAAATATAATCCCCTCTTTCTATTTACAGTATAATATGCCAAAACCAACTATCGTAATAACAACTACTTTATCCTTTCCAAAAATATGGAATCCATTGGCTCTAGTTCCACCCCTTCTTCTTCTTCCGACCACCACCACCACCACCACCGTCCTCGCCGCCGCTTAACGCCAACTCAACCCCTCGCCGATAGAATATTCCGAGCTCTCAGCCACCACCTCCGCCTTCTCCACCGTTGTGACGCCACTTTTTTCGTCTTAGGTGCCACGTGTAATGTCTACACCGTGACTCTCTCCACCACCCCTTCATGCAGCTGCCCTGATCGTACCACCCCTTGCAAACACATATTGTTTGTGCTTATTAGGTGAGAGCATTTTGTTCTCTCTTCAATTTTCCAATCCTTTTGCTCATTCTTTTAATGAAATATTTAAATATTGTTTATTTCCTATACACTGACATTATAAAATATTTTATCAAGTCACCTAAAATATAATTACAGAAAATAATTAGTAACCTAAATATAAGCAAATCCTCTCTAAGTTTAATAGTTACACTTTGCATTTTGTTTCACTCATCATATATTCCTGGCAAGAAATGATTTATGTCCTCCTCCGTGTATTTTTTGGTAATTATATAGGTCATCATACATTATAAGTGAATTAAATTTAAATTAAAATTATTAATGCCCTATTATAATATTTGTGCTTAATTATTAGGGTATTGGGTGTATCCATTGATGACACGTGTCTCTATAGAAGGACTCTTCGGCCATGTCAGCTTCAGCATCTTCTTAACTTACCTATTTCAACTGAAGCATTAGCAACCGAAAAAATACGTGGAATGTTTCATCATCTGTTTTCTCAAGAATGGCGCCAAAGGACTTCGCCCATACAAATAAAGGTTAGCATTAACAACTTGTTTGGATTGTTAGTTACGTGCCGTTTTACAATGTACCGTATTGTATTATATAGTTTAATGAATACAATATTTGGATAAGTTGTATCGTTTGTCGTTATTTTATCATGTCACATACTAACAATATGAAGAATAAACTTGCAACATTACTAAGAAAAAATAGGATACGGAGTAGAATTATTATATAAAAAAGTAGCGCAAAGGATAAAATCAAGATGAGAGAAAGAAACAAGTAAACGACTTCATCACAACAAATCCGTTGTTCCATAAAGTGACACTTTTCGTCGTGAATTTAACAATACGATATACTAAAATTTAAGTAACAATCAAAACAAACATTGTATGTAAAGTAACAATACGATACAATACAATAGGTAATAACCATCCAAACAAGCTGTAAATTATCTAACCAATTACTCATTTAAAAATTTAATAGAAAATGCACATTTTTAATTTTTTAATTATGTTTCAACAGGTCGAAGATGGGACCACGTGTCCGGTGTGTTTGGAAGAGATGAACAAAGAAGAACAAGTTGCTGCTTGTGGGACATGTAAAAACCCTATACATGAAAAGTGTTTAATGGCATGGAAAAGAAGTAGTAGAAAAAGATTTATTAGTTGTGTGCTTTGTCGTGCACGTTGGAAAGATGTTAGGGCTGAAGAGGGAGAGAAATATTTGAATTTATCTGTATATATTAGTGGGGTAAATGAAATATTGGAGGAAAATCAAAGTCGTTGTAGGGATTAATTAATTATTAGTGTAGTTTTTACAATCAAAGTCGTTATGTACTAATTTGTTTACTTATTTAAGTTGTTGGATAGGATGTGATTATTACTGTATATAATTTCAAAAGAAATTCAAGTATTTGGGTACGTAAATTTCTTGATCAAGAGAAGGATTTGTACGTTCTAGCTAGCTAGTTTCTTAATTATTATTTATTTGCTACGTACCCATCGTTACTTGCTGCGCCTTGTGGGTATGTGTTGACATTCTCGTGGCGGCAGAAGCTTTTGAATGTAATAATAAGTAATTTATCTTATTTTTAAAATTATAAATTTCATATTTTAAAGCGATTTATCTATAAATATTTTTGAATCATGTAATAATATTAGCATTATTTACATTGACGGTAAACTCTATGACATTTATTTCTTTCGCTCCTAACACTGTAGAGTTTGAAATACTGCAAAAAAAAGTTTATACTGGTAAATTAAAGGACATCACCAAATCAGGATAAAGAAGTTCAATGAAATGTCGTTTTAGTACCTTGTGAGAAAAATCTAAAAAAGGACTGAATATATATATATATATATNAAAAAAAAATACTAAATTATTCTACTCTTCTATAATTTAGTTGTAGTTTAACTTAAAGAATAAAGTAAGGATTCATACAACCGAACGTAACCTATTTGAAACAGAGACGTAATTAGTAATTCCAGAGTAGAGACGGCTCAAAACAGCTTGATATCGTTCCTAATTCATCTTCACAGCTCAACCATATTGGAGAAGGATAGTCAGCACACATAAAATCATTTTTCAAATCGAACGTGTCATCAAAACTAGTTCCCAATCTAGGCAACTCAATGATTTGTGTTAATTCCTCGGACGTTGTCCCCAAATCTGCCATTGCTGAATCTATTGCTAACAAAGAAGAAGAAGTTGAAAGAAGAAGAAGTTGACAGAGATGATGATAAAGAACAGCTCGGTATACGAAATATCTCGCATTCACGTATGGTCGCACTGCAACTGGTGTGACGTAGATAGTCTACCCTGAGCAAACATCGATTTTGCATGAAGAATCAAAGTTTTGCATCGAAGCTGCTTTGGCTGCTGCTGTTTGAATGTCACGGGGGGTTAGTGATATGGGTTTTGGAAGAGAACTTGCAAGCTGTGTGAAGTTGAGGGTTGCACCGTTACCTGTTGAGACATAATATAATTAAATAATATGTTATTGTTCTAACAACTTAATTAAGCTTTTATGTGAGATTATCACACACATAAAAGAATAAATTTTACGCGTTTCACTCATATAAGAATCAAGTTCGCACGTAGATGGCATGTTGAAGACATATAATTAAGAAACAAGTTTAAAATTTTCTATGTACAATTCGAAATTGCTTAATTTTGTCATTCATTGCACTTTAGATCCGTTTATATCCTTGCTTTAGCAATTCGTCTCGTGTTTCCCCTTGCCTTATATAGTAACTCAGTGTGAAATAGACGATCTCCACGTGTCCAAATCTTTTGAGGAAAAAAAATTAAATTTACTCTCAACTTTTGATTATAAGTTTAAATCACTCTCAAATTGAAGCTCCATTAGACGACTGGGACAAAAATAAGACTTTTTTCTAATTAAGGACAATATTATATTAGATCAAAAGCTTAACGTATAATAAAGTTGCATAATTTTGAATGGTACAAGGACAAATTTTGACCATTTTTCGTTCAGTAAAAAATAGCAAGTTAATTTTTTTATTTTTTATTTTTTATTACAGAGGAGTTGTGGGAAACGGGAAGGGATTATTATACTAGTGATGTGATTCGAACCCTTTACCTATACTTTACAATTTTACTTATAATAGTACTAGCATTTCAAAAAGCTTTGAGAAATAATTAGTTAATAATAAGGGTAAAACAAGAAAAAAAAAATTGTCTTTATTTTAATTTATTAAAATTGACAAATAAAAGTAAAAATATATTTTTAGTACAGTAAACAAGTAAAAGTGAACGGAGAGAGTAAATATTTAAGAAATAAAAGGGCGGTGCACTAAACTTCCGCTATACGCGGGGTCCTGTGAAGCGCCGGACCATCAGAGTCTATTATACGCAGTCTTACCCTACATTTTTGCGATAAGGTGTTTCTACGGCTCAAACCTGTGACTAATTACCTTTGATGGCTAAAGCACCAACATCATGAGCTCGAGCAGCCATTTCTGGGTTAGGGAAAGTTCCAAGCCAAATTCTGGATTTTTTACGTGGTTCTCGTATTTCTGAAACCCATTTTCCCCAATTTCTCATACGAACACCTCGATATACCTGGTGTTTGCTACTCTCTCGAATTCTTTTTATCTTCTTTGCTTCCATTTTCTTGAAAGGAATAAACAAAAATAAGCTATATATAGAAGAGCATAAAGAATGCAGAATGAAAGAAAGAAATTTCATTCAAGAACAAGTTTTGGTTTTGGTTTTTATTTTTATATCAGTCAACTGCAATACTTATGGAAGGAGGGAAGGGTGGACAAAGGGGTGTGGGGTGGAGGGGGGAGGGACCCAGGGAAGAAATGAAGGGGCGAAGTCAGAATTTGAAGTTTATGGTTTCGAGATTTTAATTCCAGGTACGGATCCACCTCCCGACCTACGGGTTCACGTGAACCTAGTAGATTTTGTCCACATAGTGTAAATGTATAAATGTTTGAACGTGAACCCAGTTACTATTAAAAATTTACTCGAGTTCGTTGCAGGAACCCATAAATATTAAATCCTGGATCTGCCTCTGTACTAATTCTTTTAAGTTATGAGTTCTAAATTAATAATTTTGTACATATCCAATAAATTTCTTAAAATAACCAAAATTATTGAGTTTGACCGAACTCATAACCTACACACTAACTCGTCCCCTGAATGGGTGACTATATTATACTCCTGTAAGTGGCGAATTTACGATGTTAGTTATGAATTTACGTGAACCCAATAACACTATAAAAAATAAAAATATGACCCGTCCATGCGGTTGCCGATGGAATTTTTGTCATATTTTTGACGAATTTCGTCGAAAACGCCTGGTCAAAGTTTTCAGTTTTTTGTACTGTTGTTACTTATGCTCGGATTCAATACGTATATTAAGAAAGCTGCTAATTATCTATAAATATTGGCTATATTATTATTATAATATTAGTTTAAGATCGATATAAAAACTCATAAATTTAAAATTTGGATTCGATTCTACCCCTGTTTTGCTAGGCTGCTAGCAATCCCATCAATTTCAACCTTTCAACTTCAAGTAGTAATCACGTACCGGTCTAGAAGTACGATTAATTATTCGGCGAAACTTAATAGTTTTTGTTTAAATAATATATTTGTGTTAAAATTTTTTATTAAATATATATAAATATTAAATTTAAAATCACTTATTATCGCTTGAAGTAGTGATCAATTCAAATTCTCATTGAGTAGGCTAACTAAGGAAATAAATTAAGAGTAAAATATTGGGGCGGTTTTAAAATATATTTTTTCGCTTTCTTAAAGTAATACGTTATCCTCGTCAAAATTATTCTATTTGTTCCAAATATCAAGAAATGACAGTTTATCCCATGTCTATCAAATAAATACGGTAATGGTACACTTTAAATGCTAGCCATGCAATGTAATTCACTTTTTCTCTCCTGATTAGATGCATTGCCAATTTTTAATACATGCAAGAAGTTAAGCAAGGGAGGGCCAAAACCGGTGACTTTTTGCTGAGATTTTTATCCAATATATCGAAATTTTATGGGTTCAATCGTTAAGATTTTTAGTATTAAACCCAATATATTCTTAAAGTTATGGGTTCATCTATACTATTTGTTGCAATTTAAGAAGATTTTTACACATTAATTTATGTTCTGCATCAAAAGTTACGGGTTCAATTGAACCCGTCACTTACGTGCTACATACGCCCCCGAATATAGTCGTCACTCAAAGCAGGCAATATATATAATTTTTGTATATTGATATATGATATACATATAATATATGTATTTTATACATAATCAATATATATCTTTTATATATTTAATCAATGACTGTAATTATTTTTACCAGACCAAATATATTAAAAGTGCTACTTTACCACCTTCTTTACAATTTTCATTGGTCACTGTGTAGGGGGTTATGGTCACTGCATGCATGCGTTACACAAAATAAGACACAGCTAACTTTTTTTTTATTAGTTTCTCATGTAATGTTCGATACTTACTCGTATAAACTTTTGTATAACTTGTACGATGTATGGTATCAATATTAATATTTTATAACTAACATAATCTTCATATAATTAATTAACGCAACGTAACATTAAAATTTGGTATTAAACTTTGTATAAATTATGCGAAATTTAATACCGAAAATCATACATTATATTGGCATAACTTATATGAGAATCGATGTATTATTTTATTCGAAAAATACTCTTATCACAAACAAAGATGCCTTTAAATTAAGCAATATCCCTGCGTTATCATTCATCGCATAATTAATAATACCTACATTATAATTATTCGTCACATAATAATTTTTTGTATTTAATTTTTTTTTCTCGACATGTGATAACTCCTGCAATTCATTGCATTATAATCTCGACATAACTAGCTAGACTATATACTAAACGATCCTTAAATTAAATGACCTTCTAGCCAATTCGAAGACCTTCTTCTTCCTGTTTTTGGGAAACGAGCTAGTTAGGCACAGGCACCTGACAATCTAATATAATGTCAACTTCGAGATGATCCTCCATTTCTTCTGCTCCATTCACATGTCAATCGTCTGAAATTCAGGTTCATGAACCTTATGGTGTATTTTGCATTATAATCAAAGCTCTGCTACTGCTACTGGCTAGTGCTAATACTGAGATACTCATGCTATTCAATGAGCTTCCAATACGCAGAAGCGGATTCAGAATTTTAATTCTATGGGTTCAGGACTCAGGTGCTTGACTTATGTGATTACTTGTTGTTGCTTTCGTTCCGGCCTTCTCATTGCAATACTCAGTTTTAGTTTTCTATCTTTGTATTTTTGCTTCGGTTTTCTAATTGGTGCGCTTGTTGCTGCCCTTTCTTTTATCTTTCTTAAGCCGAGGGTCTTCTGGAAACAACCTCTCTGCCTTCTTGAAGGTAGGGGTAAGGTCTGTATACATACT